ATCGTCGTTCTCATATGGATGCAAATTACAGCATACTTTTTCCCTTTCTAAGACATGTCACAGGGTTGTTCGCGCCGAAGGTTCCCGTCATCTGGTGTGTACCTGACGCTAGTGTCGAGCCGCGGTAAACATGACGTTGGCCGAGCCCCACCATCCCGCCAGGGCTCCAGATCTTTTCCTAGCCACCATGACAACACGCCTCTCTACCCACGTGTACGCATCTCACCATGGCCTCCGCAACAGCAGCCGACATCCAGGGTCCATCTCACCCAAACCCGGAAGGCCTCAACACATCGGCAAGCACGCAATTCCCGGCTGTCAACATCGGCACGCGCAACTCGGTACTCGCCCAGATCCAGGCCCGCGCAGTCGAGCGAAGCTTGAAGGATGCGTACCCGGACCGAACCTTCAACATCTGTCCTGTCGTGGTTCAGGGAGACAGAGACAAGATCACACCCTTGCAGCAACTGAGTCAGGGTGAGAATGCGAAGAGTCTCTGGACGGGCGAATTGGAGAGCATGCTGGAGTCTGGCGATCTGGATATCATCGTTCACTGCTTGAAAGGTATGTTCTGGAGCTCGCGCATTGAAACTTCGAACGAATCGGACTGACTAGTAGAACAGACATGCCCACACAGCTGCCAGACCACCTCGAGATTGGTGCCATACTCCAGCGTGAAGATCCCCGCGATGCCCTCCTGATCTCCCCACGCCTGCCCAAGGAGACGACGTTAGCTACCCTTCCGCAAGGTGCCACCATCGGTACGTCATCGGTACGACGAGCTGCCACACTGAGGAAGCTATACCCACACTTGAAGTTCGCCGACCTCAGAGGCAACGTGGGTACGAGACTAGCGAAGCTCGATGCCGAAGACTCCCCGTACTCAGGTATCATCTTAGCGGCTGCCGGTCTGAAGCGAATGGGTCTCGACAACAGGATCACGCAGTATCTGAGCAGTACGAGCGGAGGTATGCTCCATGCGGTCGGTCAGGGTGCCCTAGGAATCGAGATCAGGAAGAAGGACGCAGCCATGAAAGATATTTTGAGCAGTGTTCGATGCGAGCGGACGACAAGAGCATGCTCGGCTGAGCGAGCACTGCTCCGCACTCTGGAAGGTGGCTGCAGCGTGCCTATCGGCGTTGAGACATCATGGAGAGGCGGCAAGGGCCTCACTATTGGTGCACAACCAGCAAAGGACTATGACAAGCACGGAAATGCGGTCGAGGAGGAAGAGCCAGATGTTGACGATCAAGAACTAGTGTTGAGAGCCATGGTGGTAAGCGTAGATGGCACGGAGTCTGTTGAGTACGAGGCAGCCCGCAAGGTCCGAAGCTCAGAGGAGGCAGAAGAGATGGGACAAGAGGTTGCCAAGGTCTTAATCGAGAAGGGCGCCGACAATATTTTGAAAAAGATCAACGTAGAGAAGCAGTGGGCGGCCAAAAAGCAACTCGAGGAGCTCCAAGCCAAGGCTGCCAGCTCATAGATCAACCGCTATAACGATCAATGTATTACGAATCAGTGAAGCACCCTCAGTCGCTGGTCTCGATACCAAGATGCTTTTTTGGTCCTTGCTCTGCTTCACTGGCTAATGAGCACCAACATCTGTTTACGTGTTTGCGACCATATCTCTGGAAAGAAGTGCCGTCTGAGTATCGATTACTGCCAACAGACAGGACAGGGCAGACTGTTCACAAAGATACACACACAGAAAGCTCGTTGGCAAAGTTGTGACTCTTGGGCGCCTCGATATATAAGAAGTTTCGAGTACGCAAAGTAAGACGTTCCTGCTATCAACTCTCTCAAACTACTAAGCACAAGCCTACAATCACTATACAGACATACTGCCAAAAGCATCTCTCTGCTCCGAAGCACCAAACCCACGTCATCGTGCGCAAAGCCATATACCCAAGATCATCTCTACCCAAGGACTTCATCAACTTTTACTCCCGACATGTGCGAAGAAAGGTGGACCCAGTACAAGGACTGCAACCACGAGCATATCCCCATGAGGCGAACTATACGCTGTCACCGACTCGAAGACGATGTCAATGCAAGGCAGTGTCCGCGGTACAGTCGCGTGCGGCGGACCATCAGGTATCCGGATATGTGCGGCACCTGTAGGGCTAACGGGGCTGTTCCTGACGAGGGTTTCAAGGGTGGAAGATGGGATAGTCGGTAGGCTTCACGGAAGGAAAGCAGAGGGGAACATGAGTGTGTTGACAGTCATGCGAGGGGGTTTGGACATGCCTGAGAATATAAACAGTTGTTGATTGAAATAAATCCCCTGTGGAATGTTCTGCTTCTCGATCTCGATATCAACTACCTAGGTACCCGGAAACGAGTAAACTGGTTTTGAGTGAGAACTCCTGGATAGCAAGAGAACACGAAGATACCTACGCTAACACCCTACTTAGGCACCTAGGTATGATCGATCAAGATTCTCGTCGTTCTGGTATTGTCGTGAGATTGTGACTCTCCATCGCTTCAGTGATGGGCCCGTTTAGTTTGCGAACGGCATCATTAATATTCTAGAAGCGGTAATGAGAGCTGACGACGACTTGAAGCTTCCAGAGATCTGCGCAACCGCTTACTCACGTGATACCGCGTTTGGTCGCTACCGGGATAAATTCCTGGACGCACGATTGGTGCGGCACCTTCGGGTCTTCGCGTTTGAGACATGATGAACATGGTAGCTTCCGTCGCAGGAACTTCAGGCTCGAGCTCCCTTTTCTTCTTATATCTAACCCCTCTATCGATTGACCCGTTGGATACATTGAAAGTTCTTCAAGAAATTCGGGATACCTTGTCCTGAAGTATCGACTATCTCATCGCCAGGTTCGCTTCGGAGCGACGCATCGGCGCCCATAACCTCCTACGCGTCGAAAATCCGCGTCATATCGCTCAACAATCGCTCCAGGCAGCACTAACTTGCTATTATACTCAATTACGCAGTTTGAACGGAGCCGCTCAAAAACAAAAGCATCCTACTGGCATTGCTAGTTGCATTGCTGCTCCCGCCAAACGCGACGCGTGCGCGACACTAAGGGCTCGTCCCGCACTAACTTCGTTCGCGGGCGTTGGTTGACCCACTTCATTATGGGCATTCCGGGGTATGTGCTCCCCATGAGATTAGATCAACTAATAACGTTGACTCCTCTACACCAGTTTACGACGGTCAATCGAAGCATGCGAGGAGATTGTACCAATAGCACAGCTTGCTGAAGAGCACTATGCAGAATATGGAAGGCCGTTGAAGATTGCGGTCGACGAAGCAGACTGGAGATTCCATTCTGTGTCACCAGCCCAGATCCAGGCGATGCGCAAGAGTCAGACAGCCTGGACATTCTTCTTACTGTTAGAGTCAATGACTAACTCCCTGACACAGATGAGCCGCGCTGTAACCCGTTGGAACGGGGTATCTTTCATCGTATTTGCAAGATCCTTCCCTTGAACATCCGCCTCGTGTTCGTGAGCGATGGACCAGATGTTCCACCAAAACGTGGCCGGGATGCCGGACGCCGGGTAGATCGCAAACAACGTGCGCTCTTGAACGAGATCCTGGATGGGCTTGGAGTGGCTCATATTGAGGCACCTGGAGAAGCCGAAGCTGAGTGTTGTCGCTTGCAAACTCTTGGTCTTGTTGATGCTGTATGGTCAACAGACTCCGATTGCTTGATGTTTGGATGTACCTTTTGGATCCGCGACCACCGAGTAAGCACAGACACGTCCAAAAAGACCCAGCATAATGCCGAAACCAAGAGAGACGAGAAGCGGGTTAGAGTGGTCCACGCTGACAAGCTCAAGGAGAAATGCCGACTAGATCGCCAGGGATGCGTGCTGTTCGCCATGCTTGCAGGTGGCGACTACAACGAAGGAGGCCTTCTGAAATGCGGTGCTGACAATGCCCTGAAAGCAGCTCAAGCGAGTCTTGGTCGCAGCCTCTGCAGCAGACAAAACCAAGACGAGTGTAGCAAATGGGGCGCTAATACTCTCAGTAACTTCTTCAAGAAGACAGCGCCGGGAATCACTGTCCCCCCGAACTTTCCACGATACGAGCTTCTGCAGTTCTACAACCATCCCAAGGTACACTCAGATGACTGGCTCAGGAATCATGCTAGAGAGAACATGGACTATGATAATCCACCTCGTGAGACACACTTGTTCCTCAAAGCGTGTCCGCCAATCAACATGTTTTGGAAAAAGTACCTCAACCACGTCGGCCCCATACTGCTCTCTCGCATGCTTGCAGCATGGGACGAGCCATTGCCTGGGACGGCTCCGTATGGCCTCACTCTCGTGAACACACGGCAGACGGCTACAACGGCCCAATCATCTCACGCCCCGCTAGAGCGGAAGGTCAAATTCAGAGCGTTTGATGTCACCGAACTGAAAGTACAGGACTTGGCCGCATACGTAACACAGAGAGACAAGCCGATCCCAGATATCAACGAGGCACCTGGCCATATTGTCACTTACGAAATGCCAGCATTTCTCCTACGCAAGGTCTTGCCGATTCCCACACCGACAGTAACGAAGCCTAGTGGAGCAGAAGATTCGCTGAAGCGAAAGCATTCAACCTCTGATAGACAAGACACGAGTAGCCCAGTTTCATCAAAGAAGATGCGCCAGCCTGCCAAACCTGCGGCTCCTTTCACACAGCCCTCCATTACGTTTTCAGGTAAATCCGCATCTTCTCCGATGCAGAGCAGCACTCTGGTCACACCCTCAAAGCACTCACTCCAACATTCACCCTTGGCTTCCACCACATCCCCCGCCACACCCGTAAACCTGTCAGATGACGGCCTGCGCAGACCTCAGCCGCGAGGACCTAGACAAAGTCCGAGCGAACGGTTTGCACTCTTGCTTCGGAGCGTCGAGAAGGAGTGAAGGCGATGTAAGGACTACGTTCACCGAATGCGCATGCTTATAGTACGCGAAAAAGGACCGTGGGTATCATTGAATGAAAGTAGCTACAACCGCAAATCCTATGCCATCAATGTCTATTGCTGTGGTTTGTACACCATACCTCCCGTCCTCGTATAAGCGTCTGTGCTCGCCGGCCCAGCCCACCGTCTACTAACCTCCTCTCTGTGCTTGACCTCCCTCTCATTCTGCACAGTAACGCAGCAGCAGCAGCAACATCCCTTGAGCAGATCGCTCCCAAAACTGCCTCCAAGTTTATACGCGCGCCGAATACGTGTCCGTTGAAGCATAGGGAATAGCCACCACAGTCCACAGGAAAGGCCCATGACCATGCAGTGTCCGTTCGTGGAGCTGTGGCCGAGCATATCCGTGGGATCTTTCTTCGCGGATTTCTGGGACAGGCGGTACGAGGTGCGGCCGTAGAGGATGCAAGGGCAGAACAGACCTGTAAGACAGGTTGAAGGGTCGGGGCTGCATGCGCAGATGCCGTTTGACCATTCGTGTGATTTCTCTAGCTCCATGTTTGGGTGCGATATCTGGCCTGGCTGGTGTGCAGCAAAATCGAGGCCGTTGGGGCCATGGGCGGCGTCTGGGGAGAATACGGCGTGGAAGTTGCTGTTCTGGTTCGAGAAACCGTGTGGTGAATAGGGCTCGTTCGGATACGGCGAGTTTCGGAGCGTGGGGGAGGTTGGAACATCTCGCGGCTGTTCTTTGTGCATCGAGTTGGCGGAGATGGGGGTCATTGGTGTCTTGTGCGGTAGCGGCGAGGTTTGATGCGTGCCCGACGGCGGCGTAGGAGGGATGGGCGGCATGGCATACGTCCGGATGTTCGTGTTGATGGGCGACAGGTTGCTCATCTGCCGAGCGTGCCTGCTCTGCTGTGTCTCAACCTGTGGTATATGATGAACAGGTTCTGGTTGTGATATTGACGAAACCGGGGAAAAGTGTTGCGCTTGCGGAGCATGCTGAGGCGAGTTGGGCGAGACGGGGGGTTTAACGTCATGCGCGTAAGACGGCGGCATGTAAGCTGTTTGCGATTGGGGCGGAATGATCGGGAGCTGCGCGTCAAGCATCGATTGGGGGCGAGGGTCGATCGGCGTGTATCCCACTGGCGATGTTGGTAGGGAGATGGGCATGGAATGTGGCATTGGCGGATCATTCGGCGAGGATGTGTATACGAAAGCACGCATCTCTGCGGGTGTCTGCGCATACGAGAAGTGCCGTGATGAATCTGTGTTGACTTGAGGTTGCTGAGGCCGCTGGGGTTGTTGAGGCTGCTGAGGTTGCTGAGGCTGTGCCGGCTGCTGGTATTGCTGAGGTTGCTGGTACTGCTGAGGCTGATGCTGTGGTGGTTGCTGTTGCGGCTGTGTATAGGCTGGGGCATCATCCTCAAGAGGTTGCTGCCATGAGAACCTGTTGTGCTGCTGGGAAGTCATTTGAGGCTGGAGCTGCTGGTTCTGTCCATGCTGTCGAGGATCCATGATGCGCGATTGTCTTCAAAGGAAATCCGCTTGCAACGAGGTGCTTCTAACAGAGAAGACGAGTTGTGTACTATGTCGTATATGAAACCGGTGTTTACTCAGAGTGTAGAGTCAGCGGGAGCATCCGGTGGCACAGTCGTTATGAGCTGTTGGAGGTGAGCTGGAATATGGGTGGGCTCAAGCCGGGGGCCAGGAGGTCTGATATCAGGTCAAAGGGCTGCACGTCAGGTACATGCACAAGTACGAGGTCCAAAGAAAGGCAGCCCTGCATCAGAGCCGCCTATCGCTCCGGTTGGCTCTTGGCCATGCTTCATGTCATAGGCGAGCAGCATAGTGGACGCAGATTCGTAGAGCTCCCGCCGTAAGATGGCTCTCTTTTTAGACTTGCAGTGAGGCGCGGGCTTGGCCAATTGAGGTTGGAGGTGAGGTGTGACAACGTTGTGGAGCGAGTCGGTCGGCGCTTACGGGTGGCTCGGCCCCAACGTGCAGACCAATCACGAGGCCCTCCCCTCCACTACGCGTTTTCGGCCACCGTTCCTGGGTCGCATTTATGGCCCTTCTCTTGCATCCGGACAAAGGCTCCTCATAATTGGAAAACGCCGCAGTTTGAAGAACAACGAGCACAGCCCGGTGGCGCAGAAACTGCGGGTCTAGGATTGTTCACGTGTTTCAACGCGATAGAGCCATGTCCTACGATTGCAATGCCATGACAGCACTGGGCACGTGGATAAAGACACTGTGCTTGGAACTCCACATGTACCTTCGCAGGTGGGACACACAAAAGTCACGTTTGAAGTGGTGACAAGTTTGATTCAGGACTATACAAGGGCGGCGGAATGCGCGCTCGCCGTAAAGGTATTATATGAATCGAGATAGTGAGGGCCGGGACGAGATAAGGGTATGATCTATGCGTCCTTGTCCTGCTGGGCCTTTCCACGCTCCTCCTTGTTCTCCGCGCCTGGACGCTCAGTGGAGACGGTTCCTTGCAGCTTAGCGGTTTCGGCAACGCCCTCGCCCTTTTTGCTCTTCTCTTCCTGCTTGGAGATCTGCGAGGTGTGGTGGGTGTTGTCGTTGGAGAGTCCCTTTTGCTTGCCGGACATCTCGTTCTGGCTCTTGGTCTCGTCCTTGCGGGGGTCGGGCTGTACTAGTTAGCGTCCTGTGCGCAATGAGGATGTTGATACACTGACCTTGTCGGACTGGTCAGGAGATTGGCTATCCTTCTCCTCGCTGTTCTCCTTGGTAGGCTTCTCCGGGTTCTGCTGATCGCTCTTTGGCTTCTCCTCAGACTCATCCTTGGATTCGTCCTTAGACTCGTCCTTAGATTCCTCCTCGGGCTCATCCTCCTTGTTCTCCTCTCCGACGGTAGATTCGGTACCAGTCTTCTTGGCACCTCCCTCGCCGTGTGGGTCGCCAAGAGGGTGGTGTTCAGCGCCGTGGTTCGTGTCTTGGGTTAGGACAATGTAGAGACCGACACCGGTGCCGACGACGGCTGAGGCCATCCTGGATATCTCGGTCAGTATCAGGTATTTCATAGAAATCAACACAATGTGTACACAGCTTGGCTGCTTTACGAAAGCGGAATAGCACCTCCACACGCCCAACTACTCAATTCGAGGGCTGTGTGCTTCCTAACGGTAACATGCTATATCCGCATTCGCGCTCATCTGTATAATCGAAATGGGATTGACATACCATGGGATGTCGCTGCTCTTAGCCTCGCCCTCGGGACCGTGGCCGCTGGCGTAGGTTCGGCGTTGGACAGCTCGTTGCCATGGCTGGAGCTCGGCAGCGCGGATAGACCTCGCCGGGCGAGCTGCGCGTGCCAATGAAGAAGCGCGGAGAGCAGAGGACCTGATGAAAGACATGGTGAAGCTGTAGAGAGACGAATTGAAGCTCGCGACGGGCAATTGATGGCAGACTCGGAGTTGGGATGCGCGCAAGAGAAAGATCACGTCAGTCAGAATTATCGGTACGTCACATTGTGGCCCCTGCTTCCGAGGTCTAGCTCCGCGTTCTTGCATCACGTGTGCCCGACCTCGAACACTCGCGAACCTGCGCGAGGCTGCAGAGCCATCGCGTAAAGATTGTGCACGTAGTATCAAACCATTATCCGTAGAGCTCGCGTAAGAGTGTTTCATCATGCTTTGTGAATGAAAGAGATTATGTGAAAACAATGCCATCTGCTCACACCTGATACAAGGGAACAGCTGAACACTATAGAGCCTACGTTGACGTCAGGTCTCTACTTTGCATAGCTTGATCTTGATGTAGGTTCTATGGTGTTTAGTTTCCCCTTGTATAAGGTGTTCACGCGTTTGGAGCAGCTCTTGGATACCCTGTAATTGCACAGAGGCCGTGCGCGGGTTGGAGCTCTGAAAGCGACGCAGGCAACAATTGTCCAAAAGCTCTTCCAACCCGGCCACTGGTGCCTCCCTCGCATACTAAAACGGCAGCTCCCTCACAAGCTTTTTCCCTTCTCTCCCTCCCTTCCGCTCCCCACCGCGACATTGAAGCTGTACAGCACCGTCAACCCCGCCAAAGCTGCCCCGCCACACCACACGCGCCCCAGACTGCGGGCTCACATCTGTGATACCAGACGCGCGAAGTGCTGCAGGCCTTCTAAACATCAGCCATGGCGCCCTCTTCGGTCCCGCCTAACCCCACCTCCCATAATGTCGCCCAGCTGCTCCCCCGCTTCGCCGACGATGACCCCGATTTCCGCTTCATGGCCCTGAGCGACCTGCACGACATCCTCCTCATAGCTCACCCCGGCCTCCTCCTCCACGATGATGTCGTCTCGGCCAAGACGGTCGAGGGTCTCCTCACAACACTGGTCGACACCAACGGCGAGGTCCAGAACCAGGCCATCAAGTGTTTGGGCCCTTTCGTCAACAAGATCAGCGATAAGACGCTGCCTGTCATGATTGACAAGCTCTCTACGCTTCCCACTGGCAACACGGTCGACCAGTCTATACCCGCTATGGCCCTCCGCGAAGTCGTTATAACCCTTCCCCGTCCTACCACCGGTGCTGCGCGCAGCAAGTCGGTACAAGATGCATACAGCGCCATCAGCAGGGTCCTGATACCGCGTCTGATCGGATACAATGTTATACAACCAGCACAACAGGGCCTGACTCAACCGCCCAAGGGCATGTTGGAGTCAGACCTCGAGAAAGGCTCGGACAGCAACGCTCTCGACGTTCTCATCGAAGTCGCCAAGTGCTTTGGTCCTATGCTGCAGGATGTAGAAATCCAGGCTTTGCAGCAGATCACCTTCGCCATTCTCGAGAACGATCGGGCTAGCTCTATGATGAAGAAGAAGTCCATCACTGCCATCTCGGTCCTGGCCGGTTACTTCTCAGACCAGCTTCTGAGCAGTTTCCTTTCAAAGGTCATCGAACTTCTGCGCGATCCCCACCTCACTCGCAGCAAGCGGAAGCTGTACATTACCATCTTAGGCTCCATGGCCCGGTCGATCCCGCGTAAATTCGGTCCTTACCTAAAGACGCTGGCGCCCTTTGTCCTGAGCGCCTTGAGCACACAGGAGCAAGACGAGGAGATGGATGTCTCAGACGACGAGGGTGAGCGCGACCCCGAAATCGACGAGGTACTCGAAGCCGCCCTTATTGCTTTGGACGGTTTCCTTGCCTCCTGTCCGCAAGACATGCGCATGTACACCGACGAAACCATCGAAGCCGCGACGCGCTACCTCAAGTACGACCCTAATCTGGCGCAAGACGACGACGATGAGGACGACGATGACATGCCAAGCGACGAAGAAGACGCGCTCGAGGGCGATGACTTTGAAGAGGAGACGGGTTATGATGACGACGAGGACGCAAGCTGGAAGGTTCGTAGGTGTGCGGCCAAGGTGCTTTACACTTTGATCTCGACGCGGAGTAACGGCGATCTTCTCGACGACGGAACTCTCTACGACCGGGTTGCGCCAGCGCTTATAACACGATTCAAAGAGCGGGAAGACAACGTACGCTTGGAGGTCCTGGCCACTCTATCCAACTTGATCAAGAAGTCGGGTGACGGACCCTCGCCTGTCAAGTTCGCCGACGAGACTCCTCAGAGTGGCACAATGCCACCACCGCCTAGCAAGAAGCGTCGTCGCGGCGGTAGCGATGCCAGCATGTTTGATCTGCAGGGTAGTTCGTCCTTGTCAATGGGCTATGCTTCACCCGCACCAGCTGGCACGCCTCCGGTCGGCCCTCGCGCAAGCTTAGCTAAGATCAGCCCGGAAATTGTCAAGGGCATTGCGCAGCTTCTGAAGCAGTCATCATGCCCGCCTACCACCAAGCAGGCGTCCATCTCTCTGATCAAGGACATCGTCATCACTCAGCGTGGTGGGCTCGATGGGTACCTCAACCAACTGATCAACCCTGTTGTAGAAGCTGCGAAGATTACTGGCGGTTCGACAAGTAGTGCTTCCGCTACCGCTAACACCTTACGCACTCAAGCTTTGCAGCTGATAGGAGCCATCGCCGATACTCACTCGTCTAAATCTATCCAGCCATATGTAGCGGCTATCATTGACGCGCTCCTCCGTGGGGTCAAGGATAAGTACAGCAAGTTGTCTATCGAAGCTCTGGCAGCAACAGAGCAGGTCATCAAGGCCCTCACACCTCCCCGAGCTGCTACAGCAGGAACGGAGAACCAGCAGCATCTAGAGCAATTGTTCGATGCGTTAGTCAACCGCATATCAGCGAACGACGCTGACGTGGAAGTTCGACGGAGTGCTATTCACGTCCTTGGATTGTTGCTTGGTAGGAGCTCTGGTGAACAAGGCCTCCTCTCCTCGCCAAAGCGAACGGCTGGACTTGAACTTCTGGTAGAGCGCCTGAAGAACGAATTGACAAGGCTTGCTTCAGTACGTGCTGTTGATTCTGTCGCTGCCCACACCAAGGCGCAAAATGAGTTGTCAGCCAAATGGGTACAGAATGTCGCACTGGAACTCGCTGCACAATTACGGAAAGCCAGTCGCGTATTACGCGGTGCCAGCCTAAGCGCACTACGCACTCTCTCATTGAATTCGCTATCACGGAGCCAACTCGACAACAAGACAAAAGCGCAGGTGGTGGAGATGCTGCTTCCGCTGCTGAACGCCAGCGATCTGCACCTCCTGGGACCGGCTCTTATCATCCTGGCTACATTCGTCAAGGACGACGCGCAAGTCATCATGACGCCCAGCCTCAACGATGCCCTTTGTCAAGTTGCTCAAGGCTCGATAAGCGGAACGCCGTTGGATGCACTCCTCCAGCTAGTACGCACTATCGGAGAGCAAGGCGCCGGAAAGGCCTTGATGCAAGCACTGCTACAACAAGTCGGTGTATCTGGGCATCCAGAGGTGGTAGGCAAGGTCATTGGTAACTTGCTTGTATATGGTGGCAACAGTGTTGGCGTAAAACTTGAGCAGTTCATCACCGAGCTTGAGACGGCACAAGACGACAAGCGCAAGTGTCTTGCCCTGGTAGTGCTTGGAGAATCTGCATTGCGCCTTGGTTCGCAATCTACCATTGATCCCAAGTTGTTCATCAAGTACTTCTCTGCTAAGTCCGAGAACGTACCACTTGCGGCCGCTGTTGCGCTTGGCCGAGCCGGTGCTGGAAGTGTCAGCAAATATCTTCCCGTCATTCTTTCATCTATGGGACAGCCTTCTTCACCGCAGTATCTGTTCCTACACGCTATCAAGGAAGTCCTTCAGCATGACGACACGGAGTCGGAGATCATCCCGTACACGTCAACACTGTGGGAAAACCTCGTTGTTGCTTCGCAGCTCGAAGACAACAAAGCGATCGGTGCAGAGTGCATTGGCAGGCTTACTATCATTGACCCGAAGACGTACCTTCCTCAACTTCAGGTAAGCCCTCATAGTCTTTTTTTTTTCAACAGCTAACTTATAATCTAGGCGTTCTTGAACGACCGCAAGGAAAGCTTACGCGCCATGGTCATTTCTGCTCTACGATACACCTTCACCGATACCGATGAAGCCTACGACGAATACCTCCGCCCCATCGTTGTACCTATGCTTGTACAGATGCTCAACGAGCCTGATCTCGAGAATCGCCGTCTTGCTCTTATGACGTTCAACTCCGCCATGCACAACAAGCCTGACATTATCCTCCCTGCGCTCGACCAGCTGCTTCCACTCGCCATGAAGGAGACTGTCATCAAGCCTGAGCTTATCCGCGAGGTGCAAATGGGTCCATTCAAGCTCAAGGTCGATGATGGCTTAGAGATCCGTAAGAGCGCATACGAGACCCTCTATGCTCTTCTTGAGAAGGCCTTTGCACGTCTGTCACCCATCGAGGTCTCCGACTTCTTCGATCGCATTGTCGCTGGTATTACCGACGAGCATGACATCCGAGTTCTGTGCAACCTCATGCTCACCAAGCTTATGGTCATTGCACCGGACCAGGTCCGCTCGCGTCTGGATTCTCTTGCCGAGAACTTCCGCACTGTACTTGCCGTCAAGCCAAAAGAGAATGCTGTCAAGCAGGAGATCGAGAAGATTCACGAAGGCGCCAAGGGCGTGCTCAAAGTGTCAATGCAGCTTAACAAGCAAATGGGCACCGAAGCCGGTATTGGTCAGGACGATTCACAGTCTCGCATCTGGGCACAGTACTGGGATCAGATCCAGAAGGAACATGAGAAGGGTCTAAAGGCTGTTGCAGAGGAGCTCAAGGAGCGTGATCGCTAGCGGCGCACAACTAGGCCCCCTCTCTGGTACCTCAACAAGTACCCAAGCGATCCTTCCCATCCGTTATATTTCAGTTTCCGCTAAAAGTTTGCGCGATGAGATAGCACTAGAAGGACATGAAGGGATGTTCGAATGCATGATATGAGAATGGCGCGAAAATGGGAAGTAGAGAAGGCAACTGGTGATCGCATCGAAGCGATATGAATACGAAACATGATACCATTCAAATCATCCCGGGTGAACTCTAGCATGTGCAGTGATGTCGTGACATGACCTATCCACCATCTCATTGGCAATCTTACCCAGCTAGCTTACTCATCCTCTCCATTTAGAACCCCATGTCTCCCAAAAAGACCCATCGCCAGCAGCGCGAAATGCCCCCCAACGACTGGCCTTGCCACAAACGGGTAATCAGTATAGCCCCCATCACCCGTCGTCATAAAGTGATCGGAAAGCGCTTTATCCGTACTCGTCTCATTGATCCACTTCGCCAACGAGTTCACAAACAGAGCCCGCGTCTCAGGTCGACTCGTAGCCGCAGCCCACATCTCCCAATCGCTCTTCGTCCACAGGCGTCTGTTATCGAGGGGAACGCCATACTTCTGGACGACAGTCGGGTAAAAGTCCGACTGCATGGTGAAAAGAGATTTGGGGATTGCGCGCAGGTTGAAGAGGAGGGCTGGGAAGATGTTGTAGAGGATGCTGTAGGAGTCGGGGAGGTTGTAAGCGAGAAGAGTATGGTTGGTTGCGGGGTCTATGGCTGATTCGGACCAGAGGGTATAGTAGAAATACGCGTTGCGTATCCATCTGCCTGCTCCATAGCCTCTGTCGCCATTGGCTTGGGCAATGACACCCATGCAATTTAGGGCTACGATGCCTTTTATTGCGAGGTTAGTGTTGTTGGCGATGGGTTCGTTGAAGTCATCTTCAGGTTCGTTAGTACAAACGTTCCTTGGTGTTGACGTGCTGCTTAGTACTTGCCTGTCGTGGTCTGATGCTCAGGGTATGGGCAATTTTCTACGAGGTATTCCGACCACCGCTTGAGGATATCGTAGTGGCTTACAAGGAATGCTGTGTCGTTGGTGGCCAAGTAGTATGAAGCTGCCAGAATAACCATGTTCGCGCTCTCTTCAACGGGCATCGCTTCTTCCCCTTCTTCATCGGGAACGGTGGAGCTGTAGTATCCTATGGCGTTTGGGTAGAAGCGCCCGATATCGTGCATGGCATATCGTTCGTGATAGAGTCCGGACTCTTGGAACTCGAAGACGGGCTTGAGCAGTAAGCGGAGAAGCTCCGGGTTTGCATAGAGCCAGAAAGGTAAAGCAGGGTAGATGACATCGGCCGTGTTCACTTTGCCGTCTGATGAGATTTCTTTCTGAAAGATGGTTGGACCCGTGGTGTTATCTGCGGATTCTGTGATAACGTTTGCAGCCAAGATCTGGCGGGCAGAAAGTGCGACAATGGCGTAGTACGACTCCTCTTCCGACAACGAGGATACATCGATAAGCGTATCAGTCACTTTTTCCTCGGCATAGTAGAATGCCACATCATTTCGCAGCTTCATGGTCCACAGTTTGGCCTCTTTTGCGGTAGCTGCGTAGTCTTTGTAATGCCTGCGAATCATGTAGTTGGTACTATAATAGCAGTTGCTCGTAAGCCACCATGGTTGGAGCTCGATGTCCCCGCTAGCAGTGCGGTAGTTTACAGCAGGCTCTTGAGTCGTGCCGACAGTATACAGTGCTGACCCGGACTGACTAGACGTAAAACTATGCGAGAAACCGAACACTGGCATTTGATCACCTGGTGGTCCCCGAGACTGGTTCTGGTGGAGAAAATTGTCCACTGTGCCGTCCTGGGCGAACTGCCGTCGTACAGTGGTTGCGAGACCGTTCGCAGTATCGAATTTGGTGCTCATGCCGGGAGAGGAGACGTAGTGTAGGCTGCCCCAGTACGGTTCCTGTTTATGGCCACGATCGGACCAGGAAAGCTCATCTGTAATCAACGCTTCCCTTGAAGCTGGTTAAATTTATACTGAACATACTTTGATTCAACAACTTACCAATGAAACAATGTGTCGGGGGTCTCCGTTCCCTTGGGCGGGCATTGAGTTTCGCCGAAAGACTCACCAGGGCAGCCAATTGTCCAGTTGAATGATACGTTGCCGCCCCCAAGCCAAATAGAATCGATGTCTGAGTAGAGCTGTACATCATGCGAAAGCTCATCGGTGGCGACAAACTCTACTTCCATATAGCTGAGCGGAATACTGCTCTTGCAAAGATCTTTTGGTAGAACAGGAGAGAAAAACCGCGCCTCTACTCGCACAGGTCCAGCGTCGAATGTAAAGTTACTGTAGTGGGGGTCGTAAGATACGGTAAGTGGAGTTGCTTTCTGGAGACCTTGTACGGAGGGCGAGTCTCCCATGTACTCATACCCTGTTCCGTCTACGCGTATGATGCCACTCCATCCTATGGGATCGCCAGTCCAGAAGGTGACATTCCGACTATTAAGCGTACTGCCGCCGGAGGTGGTGCTCCAAGCGCTAGTGTATGGGGAGCGGACTGCAAGAGGGATGGAAGGTGGTCGCAAAGGTGAGTAGACTGGTCTAGAGAAAGTGAGCAATGTACAACATGGGTTATGAAAGACAAGTTCGTTGCCTTACCCTGCTTGTTGAGCAATGGCGTTGCCTATACAAGAGAGGAGAACCACAAGTGATGAAAACATGTTGTCTGGCATTGCTCGAGCATACAGCACGAAACTGTCTTCCATGATGTGATATATAGAAGGCATCCAGAGACAGAGGTCTGTACTCGTGCTCAACGGCGCACAGCGCCTGTCAGAAGGCATGGTGTCCAATAACCGGAACGTTACCTCGATAAGGCTCCTCGCAGCATCGTGTCATACAGAAGATGATTTTTGGGATTTGTGTCAACGTAGATGCCTTTCTAGGCAGGACCCTAGATGAATCAAGTTATCCCCGCGTGCTTGCGCTCACGATGAGCATGCCGTGGGTCTCTTTTTCCCAGGTGTGCAACTGTTTAGAGCCTATATTTTGCCCCACACCACACTGCGTACGATATATGACAGTTCATCTGATCAGATCGATAGCGTGTGATGACGGTGCAAGCTTGCCCGGCCGCGTCGCGTCTCGACGCAGCTGGGAGGCCAACGCGTCATCTACAGCCTACAATCTCCTCCTCATGCAGGCGCGGATATTTCCACATATCCAGCTCACATGTGTTGTCCAGTCTCTCCATCTTTGTATGTCTCAGCGCGCGAGTATGGCTTTCCGACATTGCTGGCAGAGCCTCCGGGCGATGGGCAGACGGAGGTTCGCGCTCGTGTGAGTCGGCACCGCGCAAGCTCGATATCGATTGGTAACGACCCACGAAGGCGAGATGGGATACGTAAGTGTTGGCACGACGCGTCAAACGTTGCTTTCGTGCGCTGGAGGAGGGGTCGGAGACATGTGCCCCAAAGTCGCGTTATTCGCGATAAGCAGAGGAGGACCTCGGGAGGACGGCGGACTTGCGCCTAAACCGTTTCGGATCCGACATGTCCGGACGAGCCTCCTCCGGGCGCTACTTCCACATGTCCGCTCGTACATCACCTCTGAACCACAACACTACCACGTCGATTGCAGCTCTGGAAACGCCTGGATCACTGGCGAGTTCTCGCGAAAAGTCGTTTCCGTTAGTATGGTGTAGCCGGGCGTAAGCACAACGCATGTCAGCCTTGAACGCCACCAGCCAATCTAGCGTATCCTATAAATGTGTAAAAACAGAGCAGTATGACTAAGTTCGACTCGTCGGTCTCATAGACGTCCGACGCGGTATGCATGCCGTAATCTTCAAGGCTTCATGGCGTTCTGGCGCTATAGAGATGACTACATAAGACGTAGAGGCAGCCGTCTTGCTGTATGCTCAGCACATCAAACCCCACCCAAACATACATTGACAAAAACCTCAAAAGCTATCATTATGACTTCCGGTTCCCCACATCAACCAAGGCAAGTCGCTGCCCTGCTTGAAGGCCAACGCAAGGTCGATGTGTACGAGGCTACAGGTGGTGCCGTGACTTCCCAGTTCGCAGCACACAACCTCTCGCTCCTTCCACCCGTACCTCCGAATGCCATCATTCACGACAACGCTTGTGGAGCTGGTACAGTCTCTCGGCTGATTCTGTCCTCAAAAGTACCCTCAGGCCTCAAGATCCACGCCACAGACATCGACCAAGTCTTCCTCGACGCACTCCAATCAGACGTGCAGAAGAACTCCTGGCCCATCGACGTACTAAACCAGAGGTCTGAAAGTTTATCGTTCCCAGACGACCACTTCACCCACTCAATCAACAACATCGGCATCTTCTTCACCAGCTCCGCCGGTCTCGACGGCGCCAAAGAAATCTACCGCACACTCCAACCCGGCGGCACGGCAGTAGTAAACTGCTGGGAAGACGTCACCTGGCTCCCGCCCTTTGCACTCGTGCATCAAGCCCTTCGTCCAGGGAAATCGTACCCAGCACCACCTATACTTTGGAAAGACGGTCAGCAGATTCAGAAAGTGATGTTGGAGGCGGGTTTCTCGCGAGCAAACATGAGGGTAGAGAAAAGTGAGGCATGGGCAAAGACTAGCGATTTGAGAGACTGGGCAGAGAAATCCTGGGCGTATCTGGGTGGCATAGGTGGGTGGGCGGAGACAGATGGGGAAAGATGGGAGGAGGCGGTTGAGCTTCTGGTGAAGCATATTTTGGAGCAAGAGGGTACGAAGAGGGTTGGTGAGGAAGTCTGGATGAGAGCTAGTCAGTGGGTGATCGTTGCTACGAAGTGAGTCCAGGTGATATCAGCTGTTGGTATTGTTGCATGGCAATCATTGATATGTCCAAGGATTTAGTTTATCATTGGGAGCTATAGAGTCCAAGCATGTACTGCAGAGCTGCCAATGATCATCATGCGCAATCACCGTTCATAGCCATAGCTAGACCTTTCTCCCCTTCCGTTCACTCATGGTTCTCAATCGAACACTGGTCTTCGACATTTAAGCGCAAGCCATGACATAGATCATGCCCGAAGATGAATTGGGAGTGTTGAAACTGTAATCCGCGGAATACTTCTTGGGTGTGTTTGGTGGAGTCTTGGGCCTCGGTGGTGGTGTGGTGCCAGTTTTAGCGTCCTTGACAAAACGGTCAGCTCAACTACAGGATTAGATTCTCGAAAGATAGTACTCACAGAGGGCTCTGGTAGAGGAAGATCTCCTCGTCTTTTTTCTGGCGTATTAGGCGGCGGTGCTGGCGAGGAAGGAGGTGTGTAACCAGTCTTAGCGTCCTTGAGACAACAGTCAGTTCACTTGCTGATCAGGCTCCCGGAATGAGATCCTTACAGACGGCTCTGGAAGCACAAAGTCTTCTCGTTGCCTGTAGGGCGATGTGGGAAGACCGGAACGTGGCTCCAGAGGCCTTGGAGGCTCCGGACCAAGGTTCTTGTACGAATGTCAGCTTCTATGTGATGTATGTGTTTTTACATCATGGGTATTTACACATTTATATCCGCCCGGAGGTGTTGGAGGTGGGGTGTCAGGAGGGTTGGGCTCGGGACCCTTGCTTGAGTTCGGAAGACGAGGAGTCTGTTCACTGAACAGAGGTTGGTCGATGTCGCACATGGTGTTTGTGTAACTGATGGTTATTGCTTGAATAAGTTGTAGGGTGCTGTTGCTAGTATTGTAGTGGATGCTGTAGCTGGGTGGTGGTAGAAGTTGCAGTGGTAGTTATGTATGAATCAATGGAGCGCATAGCGGACATGGTTTATATACCTCTCTAACTGATTCAATCTTCATGATTTTGTGCTCTTCAAGGGCAATGGCGTTTAGGGTATTGATGGTGCCGTGAACAGGATAGAGAATGGCGAGATTGCGATAGCGGGCGATTCTTGAAGGCGATACCGTTATAGCACTTGCGATCGGTGGACCAAACACCCGACTCTAGTTCTACCATGGATATCCAGATATTGGAATAGCCTTGATTGATGCTGACTGATGGTTCGCCGCTTCTTCCAAGCCTGACCACGTTTGCGGGAACGCCCAATCACTCAATGTGGATACCTTGAGTGTTTAGCTGTGTGCATCGCGGGAATGACAAGGAATCACCCAACTAGGCAACGCAAAATGATTCTTCAATCGATATTGATAAGCTCACCATGGTGAGCAGTAAACATTAGGTATGTTACATATATGTACACGTGCAGTCGGACCTCGTTATTAACAAAGTAAGAACAGTCTTCCAGCGACTGAAACCTTCCAACAAAAGGTGGTATATCGAGCACCACCCAAAGCAACCCCAAAAGTCGGTGCTTGACCACCATCCAACATCGATACAAAAGACAATTATAAGATGTAGCGAATGTATAGAGTAAGGGGTATAACGCAGAACATATGGTAAAGTAACAGCGGACTGGCCGGGTATCAGAAAGAATGAAGAGGGTGAATATTCATGCAAAAGGCCCAAACAAAAACCAGATCGCTAAAGGACGTGACAAATGAAAAGCAAAATATGAGCAAGAAGAAGCAACGACAACGGTTATGCGAGAGGTGCATGGTTCACGCCATCATCATGAGCCTTGTACCGCGCTTCTGGAGGTTTCGCGGTCTATAATTGCCCGGGCCTAGGTTACTTCTCGGAGGTGCTGCGGCGCTTTGCGCATGTCGATCACAGTATCGCCGGCCAGCGACTTCAAAGTAGCCGTCGCGGAGGACGATGCGGCAGGTCGTGCACGTGAAACATCTTGGGTGAAACTTCTGGCGCAAATCGGTTTCGAGATATTGGCCTTCGATGCCCCGGTTGCAGGCATTGCACAAAGATCCGTTGAGCTTGTGGTAGTGCTGTTCGCAATATGGCGAGTTCTCGAAGACGTAAAACTCCGCTGTTGGAAAGGGATCGGCGCACGTTCTGCACGTGAAGCAATGCTTGTGGTAGCGTCCCGTAAGGCGGCCAGAGGAGTCCTTCACGGACTTTCCAACAATTGGCTCTGAGCACCCACGACAATTGCCTTTGCTAGCAGCCTTAGGCCGGCGCACGTCTTGTTGCTGGGGTTCAGGCTCGGCCATGCGTCTTGGCGGGCTTACATTGACTTGCGCCGGGTCCTGGGGTGTTGCCGGCTCTCTTTCGAATGTGTCACGCGGTGTTGACGCGCCCATCTGTATGGCGGGGTCCATTGGCGACTCAGGGTATTTCGCATATCCTCCAGGCGGAAACGTGTCCTGGCGATATCCCGGTGAAAGCGACCTTGGGTACGGCTCCGCTCCATCGGGCCGCATGTAACTCTTTGGCGCTCGAACAGGCCGTGCTTCGGCGTAGGACTCCGGGCTTGCGCTTCTCTCAACATTCTCCTCGACAATGTTGTCAGGACGACTGATCTTGGAAGTCTGGCGTGAGTGCGCTGCCTCGGACTCTGGGGGGCTTGATCTGGAGCTTGTCATGCTGCGGTAGCCCGAGCTGGCGTACGAATCGTCCGAGAAGCCAGAGTCCGAAGGGGTGTGCAGTGCGTTCATAGGCGCATCACCGAGTCCAGAAGCTGCTAGTGGCGGTGGACGTAAGGAATGCGTTGGCGCAAGGCCTCGTGGCATGTCGCTTTCCGAGCCA